TGTGCGGACAGCCGTGCCTGTGCTGCGGCAATGCCATTTGCTCTGTCGCTTGTGGCCACATGTGCTGCCGAGCACAGCCTGAGTATCGACGCCGACAGGAGCGGGGCCGCTCTGTTCTGCATCGCCTCACACCGACAGTCTGACGAGGACACGGCCGACCATCGCCTGGGTAATGGGAACCAGCGCGTCAAGTTCCACCCTGTGCGCCTGCTCGGCAATGCGATTGATCGACACCTCAATTTTGGTTTGCACGTCACCGCCGCTGCAGGGCAGACCGTGCTCCTTTGCTGTCAGCTGCGGCTGGATGCAGGAGCTGGTGCGTCCCAGCAACACCATGCGGTCTCTTCTGGTTGGGTGCGTCCACAGTGCGTTGCACCACGACGGCGAGGCAGTCGCACGGCATCTCTTGGCCCACGCGCATCAACGAAGGATGCTTCTGTCCACCTGGCCGCCAGTCAAGCACCGCTGCGGAGGATCATTGGGTTCCGCGCACCCACACAGCACGAACGCCTCACATTTCTTTGGTATATTGAGGAAGTGCGTGGCGCAGTATGCTCGGAAACCACACCTTCGTCAATACTTGGGAAGGCGGCGACGACCATTCCGCTGCCGAGAGATGCCGTCCTCAAGGAACTGCGACGCGTCTGTAGCCACATGAGGATCTTCCCGCACCACATCCGCGCCTCTCATGCTGAGCACCGGATTTTCGTCTGCGACACTGTGAGCTGCGACGGGGTGGGCGTCTTCCGGCCACGGCACGCCAACGACTCCCTGGACTGTGTCAGACGATCGGCCCTTGAAGCGGCCTGCGCCTCTCTGGGACCGTATGACGCAGGCCGCTGGACGGCACGTTGTCTCTCGCTGCGCATGCATTCGGATCCGCTGCGCTGCCACTTGACTCCCCGGACAGCCGCGCTGCCTGTGGAGCCTCACCGCACAGCTGCTGGCAGCCTTGCATGCTCCTGCCGAGCGGAGTGTCCTGCCACTGAGCATGGCCTCGGACACTTCCAGTTCCCCGCCTGGCAGCAGCATCCCAATCGCCAACACGAGTTCCTGCCGCCACAGACTTCCTCTCGGCGATGGAGGCGCTCCTCTTTGGCCCACTGGCGGTGCACGACAACGGCGTCACCGAAGAGATTTGCATCATGCCGCTTTCACTGGTGGATTGAGGTCACACGGCTGAATCCACATTTCCCCATGACACTGCGGAATCCCACGCAGCGTGACAGCGAACGCGGACACCGTCATGGCACGATCTCTCCCGCAGGACTGCGTCACTGCCTGGCACGTGGGCTTCCTTACCGCCGTCAAGAGGTTATAATGGAAGGATGTCCAGGAGGAAAGGGAAGGCGCGTACACCGTGTGACAGGCGCCTGTCGGCGTGGCGAGGACTCTGTTCCTGGTGCTGACCCGGACATCGTGCCCCGAGTGGCGGCACTGCGCACGGGCGCGATGCAACACCTTCCCACTCTTCGACAGGCCTGCACGCGCCCTGCGGATCACAAGGAACCCTCTGTGTCGGTGGCGCCGTCCCTCCCTCACTGCGGTGACCGGCCCGCCTCTGCCTCCGCCGGAACCTCTTCCCGACGTGAGCACCGCAACTCCTTGTCGACCAGCGAGCGGTGGATTGACGTCCTCCTGCCCAACCTGCGACAGCGTGCGCTTGTCCGTCCACAGTATGAGGGCACATGCCGGACGTGCTCAGCCTGGCGTTATAATAGTTTGCGAGGGCCTCCCATGCGGATGCCGCAATGGCGCCACCGTCTTCTTAGCAGGCGCCTCGCGCGCAGGTTGCCACCGAAGATCCAAGCATGCCAGCAGGCAAGGCACGCAGGAAGGACAAACGCGGGTACTCGAGATGGACCAGGCTCTTCCGCCACCGCTGCATCACGGACGCCACGGGCTGCTGATCCCCGACGGACCACGGGAGACTCCGCCTCATCCACTGAGGGAATGCCCCGTCGTTGAGATTATGGATTGCGACTGTTTGGGACTGCCTCAGCCCGCACGAGACGGTCCGTTTGCGACGGATTGATTGCCACTTTTATACTGACGGTTTTTGCGCTACTCACTCGTTATTGTAGAAGCATACAACCAAAACAGGATATCAAGCTGCTTTTTGATGACTATTGGCTGCGCTTCCCGTGGACCAACAATCCGCGTGGTTTGCGGGGATCTCATTTTTATTGTTACTATGCTTTTGTGTTGCTGTGTGCGCTGCACCTCCTCTTGTGTGTGTGCGTGCCCTCCGTGTGGGGTGCAGACACGACGGACCGCTCTCGCCGTATGCACATGCGGTGGAGCCTTGTGTGCCGCTCCTGTTTGCTTCTTCTTCCATCTGTGTGTGTTGGTGTTGCGGCAGGGCTGTGTGTGCCTGTTGCCGTGGATTGGAGTGTGTGTCGTGCGTGGTGTGCGGCGTACGGTGCATGCCTGGCTGCTACCCTCTCCTCGTGTGGTGTGCCCTCTGTGTGTGTCTGCCGCACCTCTCGTCTCCCCTGTTGCTCTCCATGTCCCTCACTGTGCAGATCAGCTCCACACCACTGAACGACCACACTCACGACGATGACGACGTGCCGTCTGCTGTGCGCCCTGTTGGTGCTTGCCCTGTGCTGCTGCTGCCCGTCCGTGTGCGCGTCAGGCACTGAGCCTGAGCCTGAAGCTGCCGCTTCTTCTTCCAATACGACCACGACGACTACAACAAAACCACCAACTACAACCACGACGACCACAACACAGGCACCAACCACGACCTCGACCACCACTACGACAACCACGACAACGACGACTACAACACAGGCGCCAAGTGCTACGACTACAGAGGCGCCAGCTGTGTCGACCACCCGCGCACCGTCACGTCTTCGGAGCGTCGACGGCAGCCTCAGCAGCTCTGCGTGGGTGTGTGCCCCGCTGGTGCTCGCCGCATCCGCGCTGGCGTACACCGCTGTGGGCTGAAGAGGTGTG